ACGTCTTCTTCGGAGTTGGTCTTGTTGACTTGCCTTTCAATGTAGAGGCGTCAGGTCCAAAGATTGCTTTGGCATGATTGATCGCTTCTTCAGTGATAGGACAGTTCTTGATGAGACCAGATCGGATTGCATACTTCAGACTTTTGCTGCTTGGTGCATTGAGTATGTGCATTGCACTTCTTGCTTCCATCGCAGCCTTGACTTGTCTTGGAGTGAATCCTTCCTTGTTCTTTCAAACCGTTGCCATCTTTGAGGTCATCCTGAGTCCAGCATATCCATTCTGTTTTGAAGAAAGTTCGAAATGGGGTTGTTTACTTATGTTGCTTAACTGGCAACGATACATCACACTTGTCTCTTTGGCACCTGGTTCGACATCTGCTCCAAGTTGCTCCAACACATACACACCCTTACGATTCACAAATCGCATCTGTCTGTCTCCATCGCAATGCACAAGGCATTGTCAAAATCAGTATCCATGGTAATGCGGTATACAGCAGCAATCATCTCGCGCATAGCAAGTACATTGACAATTCCGTCTTCATCATAATAGACTGGAGGCGGAAATCTTCCTAGAAACCCTTCTTCATCGAGAACTCTGCTGCCCACGTTAGTGTGCATATTGAGCTCTTTCTCAGCTTGACGTAGTCCATGCATGAGTTCACCATTACAAATGGTGGTGTTGGTGCAACCACTGTCCATGATGATGTGATCAAGCAAACGAAACGGATCTCTTTCGATTCTGCGGCTTTGAATAAACTGCATACCTCGATCTGCTTCAGTAGCAAGATCAGGCAAGTCTTCACTTTTACTAGCATAGTGCCAGTCGGATTGAAGTTTGACGATAGTCGTACCAGTAGGACATGGAATACGATAGACATCATTGCCATTCTCATCCTTTCCCTTGATAGCATCGTGAAAGACATTTGATGTATCAAAATAGCCAGTCTTCACAACCTGCGGAGTTCAAGCTTGAGTTGCATCGAATCCTTGGCGCACTTGAGCACCACAGAAGCCTTGTTGGCTGAGTTGCATTCCACTGAACGCAATCTCACCATTAGCATTCATAGAATAAGGGACAGTAACAGTGCCGCCACCTTGAGTCGGAATCTGCATGAGCTGCATTCCTGCAGAAACTTGCATCAACTGATTACCTGTAGTACCAGTAAGTCGCAACGGTGTGTTAACGCTTCCCGCAACAGTTGATGTTCCACCTGTGATAATACTTGTCGCTGGAGAAGTTCCAGGAACTGTAGCTGGGACAGTTGCTCCAATCTGATTAAGATTGAGCTTCTTCCCATAATCAACATAGTGTTTCGGCTTTTTCCATTGGATCTCTGCTAGCAGTCTGTCTGGGCATTTTGGAGACATATGGTCCTCGCTGCCACATACATAACATGCTGCCTTTTTCTTATCGTCCTTTGGTTTACCTTCACCTTTACCTTTACCTTTATTTGGCTGGTCTTTTCTTTGGTATAGGTTCACTCCCGGATTATTAATCACATCCATGTGAATCTTCAACATATATCTTGTGCTTTGCTGACCGTCTTTGGATAATAATCCACTTCCCTGCAGTAGTTCGTCTGAAGATCCAGCATCAGAGGAGCTGTTCTCGTTCGATCACAGTTGCACAGAAATCCTGTTGCAAGATCGGCTTCAAAGATATCATCCTTGAACTTGTCTTTAGCAGCAGTATCGGTGCTAGCAATAGCAGCATACGCTTTCGTCTTGACTGCAAAATTTCGGAACCAGGCAACGCTATATAGATCTGGCAGGACTTCAGCCTGTCTCAAGAATCGTTCCTTGAAATGCATCAAGTTTTCGGTTGTTCCTTGCTTCATAGCAAAGAACTTTTGATTGGCTTCCAAGAAATCCAAGAAGTCATACTCATCATCGGCACTCTTCTTCATGAATCGTTCAATACGTTTCAAGAGTTTAATTGGATCTTCAAGAGTAGTTGTGAAATCGTCTTCACCTCAAAGCTTGATATCCATTGCCTTTGTCACAAACTTTAGCATGATGTTTGATTTGACGGTTCTCTTGTTTGTCTCGAAGTAGGCTGATTTTTGCATGTTCTCGTTGAGCTTTGCAGAGTAGAGAATCTTGTTTTGAGTCATCTCTGTTTCTCTTGCAACAGCTTCAGTTTGAGTTGGAGCATTCAATGTTGGAGCGATCACATTGAAGTCGATTGACTTTCCATCTCGAATTGATTTCACCATGTCTTTGGAGCATTTCATTCCAGAAGCTTGGATGTAATCAATCACTCTTTCTTCGGCATCTTTGTACGACGATCTTGCCTTTCCATCATTTTCATCTTTTGTTGAAAATAGATGTTTCACAATTGTTGAACTCGAGTTGCTCTTGACTTTCTGAGGAGTCACACGTCCCTTTCCTCCACCGGAAGAAAAACGTCCCATAGTCAACGAATCACTCACTCCTTTGTAGACAAGGCAGTGCTGTTCTTGACGTAAATTTGTTTTGTTGCCTTTTGTGATTGAATGTTAGAATAAAGCAAAATGTGCTCTATCGTGAGTGCCTTTAGCGCTCAGAACAAACTCTCTGCAATCTAAATTCGTAATCGATTGTACAACACTTTCACGACAATAGTTCTCCTGTGTCTAGGTATACTTTGAGTGAAATTGTTCCTATTTGATTAATGTTTGGCTTGAATTGATGATTCAATCACAAAAGTGAGTTCAACGATTTTCCCTTGGAAAATGCCTTGTTTACAGAACTCGATTCGACTTCTACGACAATTCTGTGTCGAATGCAGTACTTTGGGATATCTTGTATCATTCCCTACTGCATCGTACACAACATCGATATTCCACTTGTATTGGGGCTTTCCCTTTTTGTGTGGATATAGATTGTCCGGCAGACTTGCGTCGAATCCTGACATCACGATCAAAGTCCGATCGTGCGTTTCGAAAACTTTGTACTTGAATAGTTTCTCTTGGAACGTAAAAACTCATATTTTGTCATATCCCAACAAATGACAGCATTGGGAGAAGAGGTCTCGATGAGAGCCGCGACCAGAGACAGAGAGCCCTATAATGAAGCCTACAAAAAGTGGTCCAAGCAACAGATTGCAAAGACCCAATTCCAAGCGCTCGAACAAGCACTCACGGCCACCTACGTCGGACTACAACAAGGAATGGAGACGCCAAACCAACAACTGGCAAAATTCAACATGATCCAATACGAAGGAGGCACGATGATGTACGACAGCGTGGCTATGTTATTTGGCAGAATTGCCACCATTCTAAATGGGTTCAACCACAAGAATCCCCCGCCAACCAACCTATCAGACTTGGCAGGAGTAGCGTTCCAAGCCTTCACACAAGAAATCAAGGACGTTGTGGCTGAACACCTAGAGACGGGAGCAGCAGTAGCACTACTTATGGACTACCCCAGCAACCTGTCTCAAATGCACCGCCTACGCGAACGAGCAGAGAAAGAAGAGAAGCGCATCAAGCAAATTGTGGGAATTGCAAACAGCGCGGGACAAATCAGACCCAACAGAAGCTACGTTCCAGGACGATCCGCACCACCAAGACCAGGAGGAAGAGCTTTCGCGGGATTCCACCAACCAGAATTCCAAGGATTCCAAGGATTCCAGGACGATCGCTCCTTCCAAGCTCCAGAGATCTAGACCGCCGGAGCCTTCCACACCCCCATGACGCCCCCTCCAACTATGGCGGCAAAACAAAACGTTCAAGTCACCAATGGCCAAGGAAGACAATTAGTGGTCCCGACATCCGACAGCAAACTACACTGCCCGGAAGCGGTTGTCAACATGCTGTCATGCATGAGCATTATGGAGGAACTCGGAAAACAGCATGAAGAAGAAAATGGGTGGACAATGCTCAGCCAAGCGGAAGAAGCGCTGCAAAAGGCAAGCGGCAAACCTTACCCAATCCATTGTTGGGGATGCAACGAGGAAGGCCACAACTTCCGAGACTGCCCACACAAAGAGGACCCCCAAGTCCTAAAACGTTTCTATGAAAAACTGGACCAGTGGAAACAACGAAAGAACGAAGAATGCAATCAAAGTAGAAATAATAATTCCCATTATAGACGAGGAGAATATATGACCCAAGCAATCTGCGACACAGTTCGAGCCATCAAGGATCCATAGACGGAATTGGAGGAGAGGACAAACCTGCTGGTGAATCTCGTCAAAGCGGTCACTGCCCACACTTCCACAGCAGCAGCAAGGAAAAGACCAAAACGAGCCGCAAACCAACCGGCACTAGATGCCGGCCTCATGTGGAACCTCCGGCTAGAGGAGTAGGAACCTGATCGGTGACCGTAGTGTCTCCAAGCGTGTCCATGACGATGAAAGACGCCATGCGTTGGGGAAACCAGCCAGTTCCAGTTGTCGATAGAGTCAAACCAAGGGCCCAACGGTTGGCGGATATGATGAGAGGGGTCATCCGGCTGCAGAAGTGCCCGGGTCAAGGTGTCCTGCCATAGACGCCAGTGATTCCGGTTTGGTCGAACTGTCCGCGGCCATTGATATGGGGACCGGTGAGTTCCATCACGCTCTCCGCACCAAGCCGACTGGCGGATGCATCGTCCATCAGCCGTGACAATGTCGGAAACGGTGCACGCTTGAAGGAACATACGACACCAATTGAGCCATTTCAGATCGTCTTGGTTCACCTCCAAATCCATAAACACTTCCACCAGCAGAGCATCACCGACGCATCGTAGTGGTAAGGCCGGAGAATCAAAGGCCACATAGATGTCCATGTTCTCCAATTCTTTCCAGACTCGCTTTATCCATGTATCGGAAGCCAAGACGGCAGTGTTGCAATAATCCTGCTGAAAGACACCGAACGAAGTGCCCGTTTCGAGCTGGTGTTCTTGCAAAGCGGCTTCCAGGTAGGCTCCGGTTTTTGTCTTGTTGGTCGAATGACGGAGGAGAGTTTCAATATGCTTGGAAACCTGTGAGCCGAACGGATGTGGGATGCCCAGGCCTTGGAACTTCAATGGAGCCAACACCATATCACGCGGAAAACTTCTGCAGATGCCGGCTTTCGGCAGGCAGACCTGTGTAAAATTGAGTATAACCCATTGCATAGCAACGTGTCTTCCTCCAATCAGGCCGTAAGGTTGCCTTAAGATGTTGTGTAAGACCTGCCGAGACGATGACTCCCTTCTTGTTGTATTGCCCCTTGAAGGTGGCTTTCCTCCTGCAACCTAGACACCGATGTTGCGCTTTATGCCCTTCTGTTGGCTTAAACAGCCAGTCTGGTCCTCAAAAATGTGACAAGCTGGTTCTGACCCAGCTACCGGTATATCTTATCTATTTGTCACTTCTGAAGACCACTTTTTAATCCATATAAACCTGGATTTTCCACAAGTACTTTGTTAGTCCCAACAGTACTTCATTAGTTCTTACACGCGCACGTGAATTCCCAACACACTCCTTCGAGCGATGGATCGCGCATGTGATTCATTCGATCGGACATTCTGTCTGTCCATCTGTTATCGGCCCTTATTCAATTGTTCGTTTTACTCACTCCTTTGAGCCCCTATTCTCCAGGGATTTGAACCCTTGACCTCAGCCTTGTCTCTTCTCTCGAGACCTCCTATCTTTTGCAGTCTATCTACTGCAGCTAGGTACTGAAACTCAGTATATCACACCATGTTGGCTTAAACAGCCAGTCTGGTCCTCAAAAATGTGACAAGCTGGTTCTGACCCAGCTACCGGTATATCTTATCTATTTGTCACTTCTGAAGACCACTTTTTAATCCATATAAACCTGGATTTTCCACAAGTACTTTGTTAGTCCCAACAGTACTTCATTAGTTCTTACACGCGCACGTGAATTCCCAACACCTTCCTTCCTGTGGTGTTCTCTAGGGCCGCCTTTCATGAAGGAAATCAGATAAAAGTCCGGCAAAGAAGGGTGTCCAATGTAGTACTGGCCTAATACTACTAGCTACTACAGCCAGCAGAAGGTTTGTTGAAGCAGTGCCCTTGCTCCCAACAAGCTGGTTTCAAGGTAAGATGCAAGACCAAATGAGGCGGACTTCCTGTATGAGCCAAATCATGTGCAACTTTGATGACTCTCCTTGACTAGTAGTTTACACTCCTTGCTTTGATGGCTACTATTGGCGACTTGATCTCGATGACAAAGGAGTGTCACAAGAAGGAGTCCGCAGAGTGATAAAATGCTAATCAATAGCCATTTTGTTTATGGTTTGTGAAAAAAGGTCACCTCCTTGGGACTTGTAGGACAACTATGACCTTTTGAAAGAAAAGGACCTGACAACCAATGTCTCGTGGTGGTCAACGGATGTCTCATGGTTGTCATAATGACTCTTGTGTGTATATAACTCAAAAATCAAAAATCAAAAACTAAAAGGTAGAAAATATTTTTACACACACAGCACCAAAACAGAACTGTACCAGTCCTACGCGTTTTTTACGTAAAGGAAAACAGTTGTTCTTGCTGAAACAGGAAAGAAATTTACTTTAAAATGAAGGCTAACATCATCAACCCGCCGGAGAAGGATCCGAATTTGATCATGACTGTAGCTGACCAAGGTCAGGGAGGTCTCGAGGCAAAAACCCGACCAAATTCGACCACTCAATCGTCGATTGCTCTGACCAAGGATAATCCTGCCATCACGACTCCCAAGCGCAGCAGCAAGCGATACCCTTCAGAAACCGCCAAGGATGGCGCAATGAAAGGATGCTCGCTCTTCCCATCTGAAGTTGCCCAAGGTCAGGACGTCCCCACGGTCAGCACTTGACCGAATCCGATCACTCCTTTGTCAATCAATTTAACCAAGGACAATCCGCCTGATCCCACAACTTCAAAGAGCCAACGCAAGCAACCCCCTCCTTCCAAAACCGCCGAGGATGGCACAGTGCAAGGACGATCGCTCGTTGCCTACATCACGAAACTCAAGGTGTCAACGTTTCACAGGCTCTACAAGAAGGCTTGGAGGCAGGAGGTGTTTTCTCTCGCAACGGCCCAAATCATTATCACTACTGACAAAAAGTTGCCTTGCTTTTGGGAATTCTCGCTCGTGTTTGACCCGACATTAATTCTTCAACGCGCCAAGCCGCTGACTTGGATGTGGCTAGCGGCATCCAAACTCTTTGCTAATCCTTGGACAGTCCCTGCTATCATTCCTCACATTGTGGAGGAATTTGAGCGACTAAAACGAGAGCCAACAATAGCCAAAGCTCAGTCCAAGTTTAAGAAGCGACTCGCATCCACGCCAGCGAACCTGAAAGGTGCCGGGGCACACGATTCTCCCGAGAACCTCAATCCAAGCAATGAACCCATGGAATTTGTTGAAATTGTTTGGCATGCTGGGACATGCAGGGCAACAATGACCTTGTGGAAGAGAAGGACCTGAAAACCAATGTCTCATGGTTGTCAACAAATGTCTCATGGTTGTCATAATGACTCTTGTGTGTCATTCCGTCCGAAGGAATGTCCAAAAAGGGGGGCACCTTGTGAAAAAAAGGACAAGGAACTTTCGGAAAGGACGAGGCCTGCCGCAAAAAAGGCAGACCATGGGGAATTTTGGGGAATTTCTTCCTACAAAGGTCATACCTATTGTTTCAGATGTCTGATGCGATTCTTCAAAGAACTAGCAACAAAGATCAATCATTCAAGTACAAACAACCAAGGTTCAAGTGCAAAGCGTTTGAAGACAACAATGACGCCATAGCAATTGCAAGAACTGAAAACTTACGGCCAAGAACTAAGCACATCAATATCAAATACCATCATTTCAAGCGATATGTACGGAAGGGGTATGTGACAATTGAGCGGATAGACACAAAAGATCAACTTGCCAACATTGGTATCAAGGCGCTGCTGCCCCATATATTTGTAACAAATGCTCTGACTATTTGTCCTCCCAAGAGCGAGTGTGAGAATATTCAATGAATTGGAGGTTCGTACGTCAACTCACAGAGATGGGATGGACGAATAGTAGCCTCTGATACTGTGTCAACCGAGATGTTGTTGACATGATATGTACACACTATATAGATATATACTTTATTACATTGATCCTACCCTTAAAAGACATCAGATTTTCACATGCAGTCTTTTGGTCCTCTCGTTTGTTTACGTGTGGCCAACATACGTTGTGGATGAGCCACAGACAACGCATGGATATAGAGTGCAATCTTTAGTCGGCAAGACGTAAGACGGAAGGGTGAGCGCCTTTCCCATTTTGTTGCGTCGAAGGAGGCGCCGCTCAGCAATAGTACGATTAGCGGACAGACAAAGAGCCTTGACAAAATGGGCAGAATCATCAAGAAGATTGGTCAAGGACGGAGATTCGGCACTGTTTTCTCACAATGGAGCTTGCAAGATGAGGAAGGCAATGGCAAGAGCACCATGACTGTATTGGCTAATGCCAACAGAACGTTTTTGTTTTTCCCACCCACACCACCCTGGCGCTCTCTTTTGCACCATTGCTCGGTACTTGTACATTATTCTTTCCAGGTGGCCCTTTTGACTATCATAATATGTTCTACCAATTGGATGCCCTCTCCTGCGCCAACTACTTGCAACAATCCAACCCTTGGCAAGCACCTATTGCAAAGCAATTGCTATCGGTTCCTTCATCCTCCTGTTGATTGGCAGATGCCTCAATTTGATTTCCCTATATGGATGTTCAAATGTTGGCATCCAGGCAATTCACCACTTATCTGCGGCTTCACCATACCAGGACACAACCTACTGGCTCTGACCCTCTTTGCTTCTCCTTAGACTACAACCAGCCGCCTTTTGATGCTTGTAACAACCACAATGTTCTGGAACACTGTGCTCATGAGACGCTCTCCATTCATTTGGATCGATATACTCATGGCAGAAGGGAGCAAGAACACAAGGCCCAATCAAGCTTCAATACAGGCAGCACAACACACACAAAAAACACAGAAAACAACATAAAAATACGCCGCGTTGAGTGGCAAGATCGTTTGAATAATATACCCATAGGTAGGGTACATACATCTATTTGATAGAGCAACTTCCTTGGGATTGGATGCCTCAAACTGGTTCAACAGTACTGGACTCACCTCCGTATGGTAAATGGCCATGACAGCTGTTAACGGCAATCTAGAAACTTGAGATACTTTTAACATGATTAATGCATCAGATTTATTATTATCATTATTCTTTCCGGGTTTTATCACTTCTGAGTCCTATGTGTCGACTTCCATGCAATCCAGTCCCTAATTTAGTACCTTTGCTACCAGGCCAATCCTACATACCCCTTGAATGTAGCATTCAATGGAAGCATACGTATGCGATTTGAAAGACAGGACTCCATCATGCAATCCAAGCTCAGGAGTGGAGGCGATGCCAGCAGGTTCGATTATTCATTCGTTCATTCATCATTCTTCTTCATTCGGATCGGTGATTTGTGCCAAATTTTGGGGAATGGATGACCCCGATTTTCAAAAAGTAAATTGAAAATAATTTTTTGCAAGTTTCGCATCAACTGAACACGATTCCGAGTCAAGTCTGCACCAGACCAATTACACTTCTGTGATAAATCGATAGCTTCACTCGCAAGGCAAACGACATGAGAGAAACAGATCCCGCGGCATTCAAAGCGATAGTGCACCACGCAACATCAGAGGCATTGATAAAAGCACAGGCCCTTGGATTCTCGGGACATCCTCCCGTTGTGGATAACATTCAGACAGAACTCGGTGACTCTTTCGTGGGGATCATACCCGTGTTAATGAAGGCCTTCAAAGTTTTGCTTGTATTGATGGCATTTTTTCTAAGTTCATTGTTTTTGTACGGCCTATCTTATGTTGCCATCATGCCGGGTTCTGTCTCTGTCCAAAAGCTCTATTTCGATTACTCTGGGATCGCAAGTCATCCCGTGAGCAATCAAATTTTCCCAGAAACGCACTTCCGAAAAACACTTCCACACATTCTAGACAATGCACCCTGGGCTGTTGCGGATTTCTTCTCTAAACATTCTCAATGGGAGGCTTACAACGACGATACTATACCCGCTCCAAGGACAAGTAATCGGGTTTTGAAGCCAGGCGGCATGTATCAAGTCGAAGTTATCTTAGATCTTCCTCAATCTGATATCAATATCATGAGCGGGGTGTTCAGTGTTCTTGTAGAAATACTAAGTGTCGATGGCACAATGTTGGCATCTTCAGTCCGTTCCACCAGAATTCCTCACGAGACGGGGTGGGTTTCTACGATAAGGAAAGGTGTTTTATTGGCCCCATTGTTGGTTGGGGCAGCCGAGGAAACTCGGACAGTGAAAGTTCCGTCATTCCGATACCTTGTTGAGAACGAAGAGATGCCTTTGGTAAGAATCAAAGTGGCAAAGTGTATTGCTTTTCGCGATACTCATCAACAATTGCTCTGATATGTAGCGATATGCAACTGTCACGCTTTTGAGCCAGGAAAATAAACCGATTGAAGTTATGACTGGGTCTATATTAATCGGCGAGGAGCTATCTTCGATTCAGCTTCTGATGAAGGAGTGGTTCTTTACGTGCTGCGCCGCTGGAACAGCTTTCATTTTTTGTACTCACGGAATTACTTACTTAGGATTCATGGCGTTTTTAGAGAGACAAGATCGGCCTAGGGGAGACGAACTATCGCTTGACTCGGGATCAGACGTGGTATCTCAGGGGAACAGTGGCGAAGATCAAGTGGATACGTAGGCATCGGGTAAACCTGTGAATACAGCTTACCTCCCATTGATTGCTTCAAACAAGATATCCACACTCGCTGCGTTGGACTTCAGATGAGACGATTCGGTTATTATGGAGCGCGCGCCCCGTTGATATGGAACAGGGCTTAGTATATTAGTTTTAAGTGTATTTAATAAGTAGCATATCACTCGTTTGTTGTTTGCATGCATTTCTGTGCACTGCCAACCGCGTCCAACCATAAGATTGTCCTCATTCCGTTTGCGTTGATTTTACCATACTGCACCTGGTAGACGCGCACCATTAGTATCATCTACGTTTCGGTCGTTTTTCTAATATTATACTTGGTATCTGTAGTGTGTTTTCTGGGTTAAATTCACCATGCTAGTGAAAGTATGCAAAACGCCTTGAAGCCCATAAAATGAAGTGACAATGCAAAGTGCATGCCACCTGATTCTTCTTCTCACTTTGGCTGTGGCGTGAACGGGCGTATGCTATCTATTTTCGGACCTGTACTTCTCCTTCTCAGGAAGATGATGAAGATTTCGTTCCTTCACTTCTTTAAGTGCAGTTAGAAACTCAGGCCGTGATTCGCACATTTTAATGGCTTCGCCAATGTCCACGACTTTCCTTGATCTGCCACTTTCGGGCCAATGGCTCTTAACCTCCGATACATAGAGAACATAAAGTGACAATCGGATATGTGTATGAGAGAGCATACTGTCCGAAGCGACGGAGCTTTTCTCATCTGAGCTTTGCAACTTTAGAGGCTTGGGAGTTTTTGGTGACTTTTCTCCGGTGGTGACCAGCAATTCCGCGGTGGAACCAGATTTCGGTTTGGCTCCAATTTGAGGTTCGTTTCCTGCTTCTATCTGGGACGATGTAGGAGAACTAGTGGTGACCAGCACTTCCGCGATGGAACCAGATTTCCGTTTGGCTTCAATCTGAGGTTCGTTTCCTGCTTCTATCTGGGACGATGAAGGAGGAACTCTTGTCTTCAATTTTTTCTGGCATTCTTCGTATTCTAACCGCCGTTTTTTCGCTTTCCTCGTTTCATAGTCAAAGTCCTTCAGACGAGGACCAAGAACTCCAAGAACACCAGCTTCTTCGAAACACTCGCGAATGGCGCTTTCTTCCATTTTCTCATCCTTTTCCCAGCCACCCTTGGGAATAATCCACTCTGGCTTCCGGCTTGCAGAGACAAACAAGATGCGGCCTCCTTCTACGATTGGAACACAACCAGTCACCATACGATACACACGTTGTGTGGCAGGGTCAGTGAACCATCTTTGGGACTCTCGTCCACTTCGTGAGATTTTCTGGTTGGTAACCTTGAGGTTAATTTGTGAAGATTGGCGTCGTTCCAATCGGATTGGCGTCGAAGGTATATGCTTTCCCTCTTGATCCGAAAACGCACTCTCTCTCGATGCTGTGGACGAGGAGGATGATACAACAGATGGTTCATGATCAACCAAATGACTTATCGAGCTCTTCGGAGATATCTCGAGCGGGAAGGAGAGTTTTGCCAGCTCTTCGGTCGACATTGCTTCTTGTATCAACGTGGCGTCGACACAAACTGGCGGGGCCTTGACTCTACTGTTACCTGTTGCTGCGGAAATTGTTCCCAAATCCAACTCGATATCCTTGTCGCGGCCTTCTGTCATGGGCGATTGAATAAATCGGCTACTCATCGTTAAATTTGACTTAAACGTTGACTTATCAGTAATATGCTTCAACGGAGAAGGGTCTCAAAGACTCAAGAAGCAAGGAAGGAAACCCTTGAAGGGAGTGTTCACTGATAAGGTTTTGCAATTGCAGCGCAATGCTTGGGATTGTTTTCAGAGCATAGAATGCTACAAGCTATCCTCGGATCTTTCAATTCAATTCAGCAATCGGTATTTACGATCTGCTTAGATACTCAAACAAGTAGGGTTGACAAGTCTTCTGTCCTGCGAAGGATGGTGATAATCGGTTTCGATGAAGACGAGGAGGATGGCAGGAAGCCAGACCAATGTTTTTGGTTAACGGCGTGCTACTGTACATTACATACTGGATTTCTACACGGTGTCTGAGTGGCTGGTTGTCAACTAACCCCACTTTCCCTTAACGCTTCTTCGTACCGATGCGGTACACTGTACTGGTACTGTACCGTATGTGTAGACTGAAGTAGCGCGCGTCGAATGACTGACTGGACAACTCCGATTTCTCTAAGCGTCTTTTTTTAACCAGCTCTCCTTGGGGGAGGGGAAATCGATATACTGTTTGTCGTTTGGCATTATTAATAAATCGCACGTTGTCAATACCCCGGGAGCGGCCTGTAACTGGACCAAGTCGCGCCGAGTCAGCTTTTCGAGGATGTCGTTCGGACAGAATGATGGGAATAGCATAGTCTTTAATGTTTGTTCCACTTTGGCCGACTGGCGCTTGTTTGTTCTCAAAATTACTGGGCGTGCGTGCCCTTTTTGATCTGCTTCCGAACCGTTGAGCCTTCGTCCATTTGAACGAAAATAGTCGACCATTTCGGAATGGACGAAATGGACGAAGAGCTCGCAACCTGGATGCTGCAATTTGAAATCGGGGGCGGCAAAAAGATTGCACGCAAGCTGGTCAAACAATTAATGTCTGTGTCACATAACGACAAAAAAGGGGTAACAAAATACCGGTACCTCTATTAAAATAGCTACCGGTGCGTGTACAGGCTCTACAGACAATAAAGGAGTTAGATCGAGAGATCCACTAGTCGTTGATTGAGTGCAGCTACAGTATCTTTGGAACATGATCCAGCCTCACACGCACAAATTGGACGACTGGATGTAGGATTCATCCATCAAGAGGTTTTAAAATAATATTGGCTAGTTTTTTAATTAAAAAAGTTTCGTCGGTCCGACGAAGTTTGTCCATTGGACGAAGGTGTCCGACGAAGTTCGTCCATTTGGACGAAGCCTCCACGAATGGAAATGAATGTGTCGGCAGGCTCGTTTTCAACGAAGCCCAAGCTTTGCATTGCGCAGAGTCTGTCATCGGCATGTCATCTCTGTCATCTCCGCTAGACAACCTCCACGACATCTCTGAGTACATTGCCAGCAAGCCTGCCATTTCAGGCCGCTCCGGTACGTGTACGTACAAGTACCAGGTTCGTACCATATATCCAGATGTTCTTTGTCTCTGTAATTTATTTAGGAAAAACGCGCGCAGACATGGCACAGCTCAATCGTACTGGTACGTGTGCGTGTGCACTTCACATCTCTGCTGGCATGTGCATAACGAATCATCGCCCGAACAAACAACATGACAAACAACATCACGACAGGACAAATATCACATTTGCTATTCCATTCTTTGATCTGTGTGGTTTCAATCCAGTTGGAAAATTGAACTCCTTTGTGGCTCTTCCCATCAGTAGTAGTGGCATATCCAAATTCCTCAGAGACAGGCTCCTCCATTTACTTCCGCAAAGTCTAGCTTTTTACACTTCTGTCTCTCATACTTCCATTGCGCGAAGTGACAAATAGTGTGTAGCTATGAAATTTTTTATTTTGATGTTCCAATTCCTCACCTTTTACTAGGTTGGAGTCTTGTTGCGGTGAAGTGCTATAAATGTCAGGACAGTCTACAGGTAGGATATCCACTGCTACCATTGGATCTATTCCATTCCATTGCGACTGGAGTGCTAGTACGATGGAAAGACTACTTTGGTGGAATTCCTTATCCTTTACCGCGGATCAACATCAACTTTGGCATACAAAAGACATTTCAACTCAGCCGTTAAGTGTTATGAGAATACGGCAACAAAGAAAGCTTTGATTTGACTGTGACTTGATCCTAAATCAATCAAATTCTTCCGTACAAACAAAACCGACCGTCTCTAATGAAGATAATGAAGACAACAACAACAATCCTCTACTACACACCACTACAGACCCTGACTTAAGCTATGGACATTTGAACTGCCTCTAGCCATCAGCAGCATCATCATGGTTGTCATCACCTGCAGAATCATCAGTTTTGTTTTGATCAACCTCCGCACGCTCTCTATCAATTTCGTTCCACATGCTACGTTTACTTTGTTTGCGCCTGACGGCAATCGATTTGTCCTATCGTTGTCATTATGATCTGCTATCAAATACATTACAGTCTCGTCTTCAAGATTGTCTGTGATTGTCTGTCTGTTTCATTCAAGAACCCAAAGCAATACTAGCTATATGCATTTGTTGCATTCATCTGATAGTGGACAGACAAATGAAAACCAGCACACAAGTACCTTGCCATTGTAGTATCATTGATGGGCACAGTGTGATGAACGGTTTGTGGAAATTGATGGCTGTGTTTTGCAAGCCACCAAAACCATTATAGTAGGCTTACCACCTTTTTCGAGGACTGCATCCTCTTTCAATAGATGTTGAGCAACTGTTGTTTCATAGTACTATGCAGGACTAGAAGTAAATTTGATATTGATCCACTAGTAAATAAGGACAATGATTCATAGTAGCTAGTACTAGTAGCTAGCCATACTTATATTTAAGACCAGGAGTTGGACAACCGGATGGCTGGTGAGCCCAACGTATTGTACCCAGATGATTGTAATCTAGAAATATTGCATGGTTACTACTTGTAGGCTCAGACATAAGAACATGAGTTGTAAGATTTCATGCTGCTGGGCCACTGGTAGGCTCAAATATAGTACCAGAAGTGCATTTGATGTTAGTCCACTAGTAGTACAAACGCACGTTTCATATCTAGTAGTAGGCAAAGATATAGGAACGGATGTTTGACCAAAAGAAGATCCAAAAGTATGTCCTGACCATGGTAGTCTACTAGCTACTAGGTCCAGAGTTCTTGAGACCAGAAGTTGGACCAGCTGTTGATTCCAAGAAGTAAGTCTAGGGTAATCTACTAGTAAGAATTTATATTGGGCCATTGACTAGTAGGTTCATATATAGGACAAGAACTTATGTTCGATGTTGGACGGCAAGTAACAGCTGCTGACGACGCATGGCTAGTAGGCTATGATGGCCATGTAAAACCGCCGTACCAGTATGTTGGACCAAAAAAAATAGATCCAAAAGTAGGTTCAGATCATTTAGTAGTAAGATTTCATGTTGAGCCACTGGTAGCTTCACAAGTAGGACCGGAAGTACAGTTCAATATTTGTTGAAACCAAAAATGCTGTCAACGAAAGGCCCGTCTACAAAAGAGTGTCAAGGAAAAGCATAGAGGAGATCGTGAAGCTGTTTCTTGGTAATCGGACAAAATTGACCCGTGTAGAACGGAAAAGGATCAGAGATTACGCGCAGTTCATAAAAAAAACAGATGAAGAAAGGAAAGAAGTTTCCTCTGGAAAAGGAATCGCGGTTAGAACAAATTGGATTTTTTTGACAAGTTTCCAAGACTGGACGTAGCAGTAGGAACAGTTGGGGCAGGAATGGAGGATTTGGAAGCAACACCATTGATCACAATTTGAAACCGTGATTGAGAAGACTTGAAGCAAAGAGGTCGTATAATCGTAATAGTGAACTTTGACACACATATGGATTTTTAAAATACATTTCAGACTTTTCTGTTTGGGGTCTTAAAGGACAATAACAAATACAGCAGCATTGAGAGAGACATTAAGATAAGTCATGGCCAAAGATTGCTATTGTTTTGGTTCAGGGAACAATCAGTGTCCTGACTTAATGGAAGTGATAGAATATTATTATTCTTGGGGAAAGCTCGTAAGTCTACAAGAAGATGATATATCAATTCCAGGTAAACAAAACACGACGCGATGAGTTGATCAGGAATTGACAAACAGTTGATGCGCTTGATGCGCAAAGTTCCAACTGTTCTCATCCGATGATACGTCATCATATCTATTTTACTATTAATTACTATAAGACCCATAAGACTGCTAACGTACAAATCGTATTGGTCCGAGTCACGAAACCTGTTCTTGATACAATTCTGTCACTCGCCAAATGGGTGAGTGAGTGAGGACCTAATCCTCCTCAGCTGTGTCATCTACTCAGGAAAGTAGTGTACGTAGCTGTGGCCATATTTGTTGATATCTTTTGCTAAGGATATTGGCCGGGTGTTTAGCA